GCGCATGCACGCCCACACCCCCCACCAACAAAACCATTCCTGCTGGTGGGAAGCAAGCCAGGACACGCACAGGGCTCAGACCCTACAAATTCACAGATCCCCTGGGATTATAGCTTAACAGTGATTTTTGGCTTCTGAGGAAGTCAGAGCATCACTATTCACTTGCTCCACCCTCCCTCCCACATTACAATACCAGCCCCAAAACCAACCAAACAAAAAAACCCCAACCCAGGCAGCAGCCACACTCCTCACTCACCATCTCAGCTCACCCAAACCTCCAGCAAATACCCTCCCGGGGGTTTATGTACCCCACCTGGGGTGGGCAGGATTGGACCCAGCTGCAGCCAGGCTGCAGTTTTTCTCCCTGTCCCAGCAGCAGTTTAACCCCTCGGGGGCGGTTTGGTGGGTATTTGCTAACAGCGTAAACCACCGCACCTCATTCAGATATATCCCCTCGGCACCAGAAGGGCACTAAATAACAGCAAAAATGCCTAATTTTAAGAGTTTAAGCTCAGGTTCCTTGCAAAAAATAAGCCCCAGAGGTCCCCCAAGGCTTCAGATAAGCCACTTTCGGTGACCGCTCTCCCTCCCGTCTTGTTGCAGCAATTTCGGATGCTGATGGCCAGCCCCGCGGCGTGCTACAAGCTCTTTCGGGAGAAGCAGAAGGAGGGCCAGGGCGAAGCCACCATGTTCAAAGGCAAGGGGACAGCGGGCAGCTTCAGCCAAGCTTTGATGTCGGCTGAGACAGCCGGAGCCGCCCCGCAGAGCAGCCGGCCCGAGGGCGGCAGCGCCTGACCGACGTGCGGGTATCGGCGGGACGTGGGGACCTTTTCCCACCCGGCTGCCCTTCACGGCTGGCAAGCGGGATGCCTGCCCACCATACTCAGCCTCCTCAAGCCCTATTTTGGGAAAGCAAGTGGGACGGGATGGATAAAGCCCTCTGCATGGAGGGGATGCTTGTTTGGTGGGATGGAGCATCTCTGTAAATGCCAGCAGAGCTCCAGCACGGAGTGGGGACAGCCACAGGGCGCTCGTGTCACCCCAAATTAGCACCATTTTTTCTCGCTTGCCCTTCCCTCCCTGCAGCAACGATGTTTTCGCTGCCAGTTTGGGCACCCTTTAATTGTGGTTTTGAGCGTCATCCATCCGTGATGGGGTTGGGGGAAGATCTCTGTACCTCCACGGGTCCCTCTGGGTCACTGCCACCTGCCCAGGACCCGGCCATCCCAGATCAAGGGGTGGAGGTGGTAGCTTTGGTTTTATGGAGCTGAGTGGAGAAATTTAGGAGCTAACGACTCCTGTGGGCGGGAGGGTGGATGATAGGACCTTTCCAATACTCTTTCCAATGGGCAGAGGTTTTCCTCCCACCCAGTTTCCCAATAAACTAAGAACTGGGACTCCCAGCAGTCTTAATCCCAAGCTCAGGGAATCGGGATTTGGATTTTTTTTCCCATCTCTGTGCCCTGTTTTAAGCCGGGCTCCTACCAGTGCCGCTTCATTTTGACAGGAGTTTGCACTTGCAGGATACTCGGGGACAGACACAAAACGGGTCACCATCAACAAGGTCCTTTCCAACGACATCCTGGTGCAGCAGAACCAGTATGTCCAGGTAAGAACCGATATTTCTGGTAATCATCCATATTTCTTGCAATAACCACCCCAGGGTGGTGCAAACCCTTAAGGGGAGGTGTTGCATTTTGGCTCTCCTCTTGTGTGAGATGGTTTTGGGGACCGTGCCCACTTGTGTCCCCCGCCTCAACCTCTTCTTCTCCATCCTTTCCAGTGCTGCATCGACTGGAACAGGGACATCCTCAAGAAGGAGCTGGGGTTGATGGAGGAGGACATCATCGACCTGCCGGCTCTCTTCAAGCTCGACAAGCAGGGCAAAGCCGTGCCGTACTTCCCCAACATGGTGAGGGGGGTCCCTGTTCCTCGGGTCCTCCCCAAAAACCAGCTTATTCATAGAATCATAGAATCATAGAATGCTTTGGCATCGTAAGGACCTTTAAAGGCCGCCTAGTCCACCCCCCCTGCAATTGGCAGGGACATCTACAACAATATTCAGCCAGGATGAGTCCCCAGAGTTGTCCCAAAAAAGCACAATATTTACAACTGCCCAGAAAAAGAAAGTATCTCCAGCCAGGCTCGGATAAGCCCGGGTCTACCACAACCTCGTGGCTTCGTGTTGCTTGTGGTTGGGTTAAACGATGTAGTTTTAAGGTGAAAACTTTTCAAAGTGGTGAAATTGCAAGGCGTGGGGTGCATTTTAATGATAAAAAGAGGGAAAATGATGATGGATTTGGAGGCCTGGGGGAGGGCTGCTGCAAAAAGTGGCGTCGATGCCCCGTTTTGGGGTCATGCTGCTGGAGGAGGGTGACCGGCGGCTTTCCTTTGGCTGTTCTCGATCGGAGAGGCCTGTCCTGATGCTACCGGCTTCCTTTTGTGTCACCCCGCAGGTCACCATGATCGTCCTGGCCAAGGACCTGGGCATCCCCAAACCCTTCGGCCCCGTGGTGGGCGGCGAATGCTGCCTGGAGCGACGGACCCGCTCCCTCCTGGAGCCGCTGGGCCTACGCTGCCACTTCCTCGAGGACGTGGCCTCCTACCACGGCAGCCTCGGGGAGGTCCGCTGCGGCACCAACGTCCAGCGGCAGCCCTTCGCCTTCAAATGGTGGCACGTAACGCCATAGCGAGACCTCCTTCCCCCTCCGCCCTCGCCCCCGGCGGCTTTTTCGGTGTGTGTTGCTTGCCATTCAGTTAATAAATGAATTTGCTGTGAGGAATGAGGCGGGAAATTCAATAATAAGAGGCGATAATCGTGAGAGAAAGGGAGGGAAGCCCTCAGGGAGGGTGAGGTGGGGGGGATGCCATTTTGGCAGTCGGCGCCCACCATTTTGCCCTGCCCAGTGCTGGGGCAGGCGGGAGGGCCTGGGCACCTCCCCTGCAGAAATAATTCTGCTGGGAATTAGTGGGGGGCGGCACTGGTCTCCCTTCTCCCCAAAAAGGGCGGCATCCAGGCGCCCCGGCCCCGCTATCCCGCCCTGTGCCACACGGCGCGCCACACTCAACATGGCGCCTCCCCTCCGGCCGCCGCCACTCCCAAGATGGCTGCCGGCAGAGCCCCGCCCCTCCTTCCTCTTAAGGCCGCGCTCTATGGTCGCGCTGGGGGGTTGCTTCCGCTTCCGGGGGTCAGCGGGGTCGGAACTGCGCAACGCCAAGATGGCGGCGGCCGTGGTGGGAGTCTCCTTGAGACGCGGCGTCCCCCTGCGGTTCCTGCGGGCCGGGCCGC